CTCCTGGCCAAACCTAGAGGATATACAAAGTCTACTGAACCATATGATCTCAGTCCAAGAATCAATATTGTTTACTTTGGAAAAGTGTTATTGTGATATCTTATACAATTTTACAGACAGAATAAATATTCACACAGACATATAATGCTACCTACTAAGTCATAAATGTCTACTATCCAAAACAATTTATTCTATCATAACAATATCAAAATAATTACAATCACATCAAAAACAATTATGGATGATCAGAACACCAAAATACTCATAACAATAATAATTCTGAAACAGGTATATAATAAAATAAACTGTTAAAATTACTCCATTGGTGAAACATGCAGAAAATTTTAAAAGAGTATGTATGAGCACAAACAGGATCTTATACACTACAATTTATGAAATGCATTATATATATATATATATATATATATATATATATATATATATATATATATAGTAAAATATATATATATTATCAGACGTTATGAAAAGAATTTACATAAAATAGACAATACTTTTCTATATTATTTAATGAAACATGTTTAAAAATATATATATATATATATATATATATATATATATATATATATATATGTTATATATATATTATTTATATATATTTTAAAATAGACTCTCTCTCTATATATATATATATAAATATATGTATATATATATATATATATATATATATATATATATATATATATATATATATATAGTGAAGTTCGATAAAAATGACTCACCTTTAATTTTTTTGACTATAAAAATATTTTTATATAAAGTTTTTGGGGTTAAAATTTATAATATTACTAATATAAAGATCCCTGATTTTTTTTTTGACTAAAAATATTTTTTTTGTTTTGGGGTTAAAAAAAAGTTTTTTCCCGACCACCTAAGAAAAAAGTTTTTTTCACCTCAAGGTATTCTATTGATGATTATAAATTTGGATATAAATGAGATTTAGGAAAAAACTCTGTGCAAAAAAAAGTGACTCAGATATCGCATTCTAATGATTAAACTGGTAAATTTAAAGAAATTTTGAGAAAATATCGAAAACTATTTTACAATATACTCAGAACAATATTCTAGAGAATTCTAGAACAGCTTAAATTTAATCTAGAGTATTGCAGAATATTCCAGAAAGCCTCATACAGTATAAAACCAGCTTGAAATAGCCACTCAAGTCACTAACCAGATGAAAGGGTACAAACATGCATCAGAACAACTTAAGGGATCTAATATTGCCCGCTCAAAAGCAGGCAAGTCTACGAGAGAAATTGCAGAAATTGCTATAACCTCACAATCAACTGTCTCTTGAATGCACATAATGATGCCACTCCTGCACCAAGGAAGGAAACAAGGGGACGAAAGAAAAAGATTAATAGTAGAACTGGCAGGGTAGTTAAGAGAGAGGTTGCTAAGAATAGGACTATAACTAGCCAAGAAATTGCAGCCAGTCTAAGTGAAGACCAAGGTCTTGCCTCTTCAACAGTCCGTCAGAACAAGATTACAAATCTTGTTAAAACAAGGCTACAAATCTTTTACACGGAGGTTTAACCCTCTAATAAGCAAAGCCAACAAAGCCAAGAGACTTAAATGGGCTCACTATTGCAAAAATTTCACCGTAGAAGACAGGAAGAATGAAACGAAAGTTGAGCTAAATTCCAAGGATATGGTGACTCACTTTTATTGAAGAGCACTGTAAATTCAACCACAACTTTGATATAAAGAATGCCATAGTCATTAAAAGAGAAAATAACTTACTTAGAAGGAAAAATTCTTGAGAGTACCACTATTGAATCTTATGAAATTACGAATCTGGTCATTGGATTCTTCAAATATCTCCATTCCTGAAAGAATTCATTCTTTGCTAAGCAAACATAGATGAATCTAAAAATGTTTAAAAAATAAGAGAAAATGGATAAATTCATAACCTTCTATTATTTAAAATATATAATGCATAAATTAATCCTAAAATAAAAAATATTAATATTATAAAAAAACTTCATGCATTATAAAAAATAATTAACAACAACAGTTTATTAAATTTGTTTCTTAGGTATTAAATTACATCACTTATGATCTTCCATAATTTAATTTTAGTTTTCATGTGTTTTCACTTTTATATATATATATATATATATATATATATATATATATATATTACACATTGATTGAATACGACAGAGAATGTGCTGTTATTTAGTTTTTTATACAATTTCTCATGCAATCTAATAATTCTTTTTCTTTTCAGATGATAAATTATATAAAAACATTTTTTTATATAATTTTTTATATATATTTTTTCTTCTTCATAGTTTTTGTATCATTTATCATCCGAAAAGAAAAATTATTAGATTATTAAACTAAATAAAAGCACCTTGTCTGTCATATTCAATGAAATGTGCATGAATGAAGGATTGCTGCCTAAAGACACACACACACACACACATATATATATATATATATATTACATTGTTTACTTTATTCGGACTATTGTCCTCATCTTTGTCGCCATATTTATTACAATGTTTCATAGGCCGTTGTATGCTCTGGCCTTCTTCAGGTGGTTGGAATGTCAAACTGAACCCTTTATTTCACTCAACAAGGTAGACTGTTCTAGTTCTAAATGCCATGCTTTGATGGATGTCAGCAGTTATCGCCTGTTAATTTCCCTCTGAAAGTTCTCCACTGCCTTAACTGGGTATTGAACTCACAATCTTTGGGTCCTGTCACTGGATCTAACCAAAAAATAAAGGCATTGGTTTGATCTTGTGACAGGACCTAAAGAGTGTGAGTCCAATACTCGGTTAAGGCAGTGGAGAAGTTGGAGAGGAAAATTAACAGGAGATAACTGATAGCTGAAAATTAACATGGCACATTGAATCCAGAAACAGTCTACCCTAGTGAGTATCAGTTCAACGTTCCAATACTGAAGAAAAGCGCATAACGGTTGAAACATTGTAATAAATATCGCGACAAAGATGAAGACAATAGTCCGAATAATGTAAATAATGTACATAATACCTTCTCTCAGAAATATAGACAGATATATATGTCTATATAAAATTTTATTTGGGCAGCAATCCTTCTTTTATACAAGCTTCATAAATGACAACTGAGAAGGTGCATGATATGGGAGAATTATCATGTCTCAGCTTGCGTCTCAGCCTTCAGGCAGAGTGTGACTCAATTGTGGCTTCTGTTTGCAGACAGACGCACACCTGAGGAAAATAAATACTATATGTATGTCGAATGAAGATAGCTCAGTTGTAGAAAGTTTGACTGACACCAAATTGACTGGGTTTCAATCTAGGCTTGAGGCATTTGGATGTCCAGCTGCACTGAGAAGCTATTATACAGCAAAACAGTACTGTCTGAGAATGACATAATTAAGCTCTTGACAAAATAAATTTTCAATTGAGCACCACTGAGTGATAGGCTAATTCTATAACAACAGCTAGCTGCATTAATGCAAAGCTCTCCAGTAAAAAGAATTGAAGCACTCCGGCTAACTGGCATTTGTTTATATTGTAAAAACAATACCCTGGATCTAGCTGCCTCTCTTCATTGATTAAAGATAGCTCAGTTGTCTAGAAACTTTGACTGACACCAAATCGGTTGGGTTTCGACCAGGGCTTGAGGCATTTGGATGTGATACAGCAAGACAGTACTGTCTGTCAATGACATATATATATATGTTTTTTTTTTTTTAATAAAACAGAAATAAATGTTAAGAAATTAATATTCTGTGATTTTCTAGAATTTTTTATTTTTTTTATCTCTCACTTTCAATACGGACCTACCCTGAAAATTATAGACTATTCCTATTTTTGGGAAGTTGGCAAACTCAGAAAATCAGCAGGGGATGAAATACTTATTTTCCACACTGTGTGTGTGTATATATATATATATATATATATATATATATATATATATATATATATATATATATATATATATATATATATATATATATATATATATATATATATATATATAAATATGTGTGTGTGTATAAAATCTACATAAAAGCACCTTCTCTGTTGTATTCAATGAAATGTACATGAAAGAAAAATTGCTGCCTAAAACACACACACACACACACACACACACACACATATATATATATATAAATTTATATAAAAATATATAAATAAATACCCTGAAAAGCTGGCAGACTCAGAAAATCAGCAGGGGATGAAATACTTATTTTCCACACTGTATATATATATATATATATATATATATATATATATATATATATATATATATATATATATATATATATATATATATATATATATATATATATATATATATATATATATATATATATATATATATATATATATATATATATATATATATATATATATATATATATATATATATATATATATATATATATATGTTATTTATATATATATATATATATAAAATATATATATGTTTGTGCATGTGTGTGTGTATGTGTGTATGTATGATGTACATATATGCAACTGTCTTAAAGGAGTTAAGTCTTAAACGCTTCACTGCAAGTCCAGCACAATGGTGCTTTTCATTCTTAGTGTCTGAAGCACTCCATTTTTCTTTTTACCTTTGATACTCGGACAAAAAATAGAAAACAGGAAATTTCCATTTCAAATCATCAGAATTTGAAAAACAGTGGACAGTTTGCAAATGATTTATGATCTGTTCCCGTCATAGAAAAGGAAATGTCTCAAAGTGATGAGAAAACTTTGCATCAATTTTTTTTAAAATGATCGTTATCTTTTTAAAAAAAAAAGTATATGCATCAATCTTGCAATAGTTTTTTTTATTTTTTAGTGCTTTCTTTCTATTCTGCACTCTTAACAGCACAAATATGAATAAAGGATACAAGCACACATCAATACGTCTGCAGTGTAATTGACAAGGAAGGAAATTATATTAAAAAATAGATATCTCTAGCATGAAATAAACTCAATTTTTCATCGTGAATCAGACACATTGATGTACCTCTAAATAGATAGATAGATAGATAGATAGATAGATAGATAGATAGATAGATAGATAGATAGATATAAAGAGACTGACAAGGAGACAGAGAGGCACGCAAAAAGACAGACAGAGACAAACTGAAGGATAGATAGATAGATAGGTAGATATGAAATCAGCGACTGACAGACAGATAACAAACTGAGAGAAAAACCAGCATACAGTCAGATGCACAGACAGACAAAGACAGACTGATAGATAGATAGATAGATAGATAGATAGATAGATAGATAGATAGATATAAAGAGACTGAGACAGACATGTAAAAGACAGGGCGACAGACAGGCATGCAAAAAGACAGACAGATAGAGACAAACTGAAGGATAGATAGATAGATAGATAGATAGATAGATAGATAGATAGATATGAAGAGACTGGTAAAAGACTGAGAGACAAACAGATAAGGACAAACTGAGGGAACCTCCATCAACAAAGGAAAGACCACTAACAGCTACTGGAGAATCCTGTTTTCCTGAAAAATTATTTGAAAAGAAAAATTTTATAAATTTCAACCGACAATGATATAGGTTGCTTGGTCAATGAATACCAAAAGTTTCTTTGTAGGAAAACATCTAATATTACTGCAAACATTAGAAATAAGGAGAACATATACTACACTTTGTTCCTAGCCAGATAGCCAGAAAGAGAAGAAAAGACTAACTCAGGCCAAACTAGCTGCCTGGTCAATAAATGTCGAACGTTTCCTCTCAAGGAAATAGCTAATATTAACATTAGATGTACCATGACTGAGATCGACCAGCAATGTAGAAAAACATTTTGCATAACACTTCTTTTTATTTCAGTGTTTATGCTGATTCCTCTCAAAATCGTTTTTTTTTTTTTTAATTTTGTACATTTGGTTAAAAGATTACTTTGACTGCTTTACCGTTAATCTTCCATGTGAAATGTCAGCAAAAACCTCATTAAATCTCACTTTCAGTCTTGGAACTTCTGATTGACACTTGGCTAGCTGACAGAGATCTATGGCTAATGTTTTGAGAAGAAAATAAATCCCAAAAAATAACCAAAACATCCGAACGAAATATCATCCATTTTCCAAGAACACTCGCTTTACTTTTCAGTGGAGTTTGTTTCTGATTCAGCAAAGAAATACGGAAAAAGAACAATGCCAAAATAAAATAAATGACTGCGGAGGAAGCCAATGAAATTGCTAAAACAAATATAGAAATCTCAATGCTGGTGTCTGATTCATTTTCGTCAAAAAAGAAACAAAGACAAAACAATGAAGGAAACCTAACGAATAAAGAACAATCTTGAAATGTCCGATGACTGGGAATATCCAGATTTATGAAGAGCCAAGTGCGGAAAAGTAATGATAAAAATCTTCAGGGGTTGGTGGAAATTAAATGAGAGTCAGTCGGAGTAAGCAAGAAAAAGAATCCAACATATTTCTTTGAAAACAATAAGAAAAGTCATGATGAAATGTTTTAATGGCAGAGTAGAGGTTGAGTGGGGAGGAATGAGTGGGAGTGAGGGAAGAGTAGAAAAGAAAAAGAGAGGAGAGAATGATGACAGCAAGGGGTTGAGGAGAGATAGATAAGGAGGGAGAAAAAGATAGATAAAAGAGAGGGAAAGGTAGACGTTAATGAGAGGGAAAGGAAGAATGGTACAAAGATAGAGAGGGAGAGAAAGTTAGTAACAATAATGATGGGTGATAGTGGAGAGAGAGAGAGAGAGGGAGATATATGGTGGAGCAAGTGGTAAGAAGATAGGGTGTAAGAAATGAAGGAAGCAAGGAAAAAATGAGGGAATATAAAGAGAGAGAGAGAGAGAGAGAGAGAGAGAGAGAGAGAGAAAGTGAAGAATGTCAAAAAGAAGGTGAAGAGAAAAAGAGGTAGAAAGGGAGAATAAAGAGACAGGGAAGCTGAGAGAGGAAAAGGCAGAGAGATAGAGAGGAGAGATATGAAAAGAGAATGGAACAGAGGGTAAGAAAATTAAAAAGATAGAGAGAGAGAGAGAGAGAGAGAGAGAAAGATATTTAAAGGTCAAATGAATGTCAAAAAGTGAGGGGAAAAGAAATGAAAGCAAAAGGAATAGCATTTAGATGACACACAAGCAGATTTCAAAGATGAGGTGAGTCAAAAAAAGGAAAGAAATTAATAATAATAATAATAATAATAATAATAAGAAGAAGAAGAAGAAGAAGAAGAAGAAGAAGAAGAAGAAGAAGAAGTAAAGAACAGTGATCAAAAGAGAGTAACAAGAACAAAGAATGAGCAGAAGAAGAAGATGAAAATACAAAGAAAGAATTCAGGTGGAAAAATAAGAAGGAAAAAAGAAAATGAAAAAAGAACATGCAGGAAGAATACAAAAAAAAAAAAAAGAAAAATAGAAAGACTAAAAAAATATCCAAGGAAGACAAAGAGGGAAGAGTAAAAAAAAAAAGAAATGAAAGAAAGGAGGACAAGGAGAGTAGCTCATACAGAGAAGAAGCAGAAAGACTAAAAGAAAAGAAATGAGGAAAAAATGGAAAAAAGAAATAAATAATAATACTAAAAAAATGAAATAAGGGCAAGACATGATGGGAGGCTAAAAAAAGAAGAAGAAGAAGAAGAAGAAAAAGAAGAAGATAAAAGAAAGTAGACTAAAAAAGAAAGTAACAAGAACAAAGAATGAAGAGAAATGAAGAAAGATGAAAAAACAAAAGAAAGACATTCAGGAGGAAAAAAAAGAAATGAAAAAAGAAAATGAAAAAAACAGAAGAAGAATACAAAAAAAAAAAAAAAAAAAAAGAAAGACAAGAAAAATATCCAAGGAAGAGAAAGAAGGAAAGACTGAAAAAAAAAAAAAGGGAAGACAGAAAGGAGGACAAGGAGAAATGCAAAGAAAGAAAGAAGAAGAAGAAAGACTAAAAAAAAAATGAAATGCAAGAAAGAAATGGGGGTGGCTAACAGAAGAAAATGCAAGAAAGAAAAAAATGAAATGCAGGGAAGACATTATGGAGGCTAAAAAAAGAAATGCAAAAAAATGGAAAAAAGCAGAAGATAAATGTGTTAGACTAAAAAAAAATGAAATGCAGGCAAGATATGATGGGGTGGCTAACAGAAGAGAAATGCAAGAAAGATTGAAAAAAAATGAAATGCAGGGAAGACATTATGGAGGCTAAAAAAAAAAAATGCAAGAAAGAAATGGAAAAAAAAGCAGAAGATAAATGCAAGTTAGACTAAAAAAAAATGAAATGCAGGCAAGACATGATGGGGGTGGCTAACAGAGAGAAATGCAAGAAAGACTGAAAAAAATGAAATACAGGGAAGACATTATGGGAGATAAAAAAAAAAATGCAAGAAAGAAATGGAAAAAAGCAGAAGATAAATGCAAGTTAGACTAAAAAAAATGAAATGCAGGCAAGATATGATGGGGTGGCTAACAGAAGAGAAATGCAAGAAAGACTGAAAAAATGAAATGCAGGGGAAGACATTATGGGAGGCTAAAAAAAAAAAGAAATGCAAGAAAAGAAATGGAAAAAGAAGAGAAGATAAAACTGAAAAATGAAATGCAAGCAAGACTGATGGGTGGCTAAAAAAATGAAATGCAAGTTGGCAAGAAATGCAGGCAAGACATGATGGGGTGGCTAACAGAAGAGAAATGCAAGAAAGACTGAAAAAAATGAAATGCATGGAAGACATTATGGGAGGCTAAAAAAAGAAATGCAAGAAAGAAATGGAAAAAAAGCAGAAGATAAATGCAAGTTAGACTAAAAAAAAATGAAATGCAGGCAAGACATGATGGGGGTGGCTAACAGAAGAAGAGAAATGCAAGAAAGACTGAAAAAATGAAATGCAGGGGAAGACATTATGGGAGGCTAAAAAAAAAGAAATGCAAGAAAAGAAATGAAAAAAAGCAGAAGATAAATGCAAGTTAGAAAAAAAAAATGAAATGCAGGCAAGACATGATGGGGGGGGCTAACAGAAGAGAAATGCAAGAAAGACTGAAAAATGAAATGCAGGGAAGACATTATGGGAGGCTAAAAAAAAAAAGAAATGCAAGAAAAAATGGAAAAAAAGCAGAAGATAAATGCAAGTTAGACTAAAAAATGAAATGCAGGCAAGACATGATGGGGGGGCTAACAGAAGAGAAATGCAAGAAAGACTGAAAAAAAAAAATGCAGGGAAGACATGATGGGAGGCTAAAAAAAAGAAAAAAAGAAATGAAAAAAAAAGGAAGATAAACTGACTAAAAAAATGAAATGCAGGCAAGACATGATGGGGGCTAACAGAAAGAAATGCAAGAAAGACTAAAAAATGAAATGCAGGCAAGACATGATGGGGCTAAAAAAAAAATGCAAGAAAGAAATGGAAAAAAAAAGCAGAAGATAAATACAAAAACTAAAAAATGAAATGCAGGCAAGACATGATGGGGAGGCTAACAGAAGAGAAATGGAAGAAAGACTGAAAAAAAATGAAATGAAGGGAAGACATTATGGAGGCTAAAAAAAAAGATGGGCAAGAAAGAAATGGAAAAAAGCAGAAGAAGATAAAACAAGTTAGACTAAAAAAAATCAAATGCAGGCAAGACATGATGGGGGTGGCTAACAGAAGAGAAATGCAAGAAAGACTGAAAAAATGAAATGCAGGGAAGACATTATGGGAGGCTAAAAAAAAGAAATGCAAGAAAGAAATGGAAAAAAGCAGAAGATAAATGCAAGTTAGACTAAAAAAATGAAATGCAGGCAAGACATGATGGGTGAGAGGCTAACAGAAGAGAAATGCAAGAAAAGACTGAAAAAAAATGAAATGCAGGGAAGACATTGGGTGGGGGGCTAAAAAAAAAAATGCAAGGAAAATGAAAAAATGAAATGCAGGGAAAATTACAGAAGAGAAATGAAAAAGTTAGACTAAAAAAAAATGAAATGCAGGCAAGACATGATGAGAAGCTGTAAGAAGAGAAATGGAAGAAAGACTGAAAAAATGAAATGAAGGCAAGACATGATGGGGGTGGCTAACAGAAGAGAAATGCAAGTTAGACGTAAAAAATGAAATGCATGCAAGGCATGATGGGAGGCTAACAGAAGAGAAATGCAAGGAAGACTAAAAAAATGAAATGCAAGGAAGACATTATGGGAGGCTAAAAAAAGAAATGCAAGAAAAGAAATGAAAAAAAAGAAGATAAATGCAAGTTAGACTAAAAAAATGAAATGCAGGCAAGACATGATGGGGGTGGCTAACAGAAGAGAAATGCAAGAAAGACTGAAAAAATGAAATGCAGGGAAGACATTATGGGAGGCTAAAAAAAAGAAATGCAAGAAAGAAATGGAAAAAAGCAGAAGATAAATGCAAGTTAGACTAAAAAAATGAAATGCAGGCAAGACATGATGGGGGTGGCTAACAGAAGAGAAATGCAAGAAAGACTGAAAAAATGAAATGCAGGGAAGACATTATGGGAGGCTAAAAAAAAAAAGAAATGCAAGAAAGAAAATGGAAAAAAAGCAGAAGATAAATGCAAGTTAGACTAAAAAAATGAAATGCAGGCAAGACATGATGGGGTGGCTAACAGAAGAGAAAATGCAAGAAAGACTGAAAAAATGAAATGCAGGGAAGACATTATGGGAGGCTAAAAAAAAAAGAAATGCAAGAAAGAAATGGAAAAAAGCAGAAGATAAATGCAAGTTAGACTAAAAAAATGAAATGCAGGCAAGACATGATAGGGGTGGCTAACAGAAGAGAAATGCAAGAAAGACTGAAAAAATGAAATGCAGGGAAGACATTATGGGAGGCTAAAAAAAAAAAGAAATGCAAGAAAAAATGGAAAAAAAAAGCAGAAGATAAATGCAAGTTAGACTAAAAAATGAAATGCAGGCAAGACATGATGGGGTGGCTAACAGAAGAGAAATGCAAGAAAGACTGAAAAAATGAAATGCAATGAAGTGGGAGGCTAAAAAAAAAAGAAATGCAAGAAAGAAATGGAAAAAAAAAATGGATGCAAGTTAGACTAAAAAAATGAAATGCAAGATATGAGGCTAACAGAAGAAAATGCAAGAAAACTGAAAAATGAAATGCAGGAAGACATTATGGGAGGCTAAAAAAAAGAAAGCAAGAAAGAAATGGAAAAAAGCAGAAGATAAATTCAAGTTAGACTAAAAAATGAAATGGGCAAGATATGATGGGGTTGGCTAACAGAAGAGAAATGCAAGAAAGACTGAAAAAATGAAATGCAGGGAAGACATTATGGGAGGCTAAAAAAAAAAAAAGAAGAAAGAAATGGAAAAAAGCAGAAGATAAATGCAAGTTAGACTAAAAAAATGAAATGCAGGCAAGACATGATGGGGGTGGCTAACAGAAGAGAAATGCAAGAAAGACTGAAAAAATGAAATGCAGGGAAGACATTATGGGAGGCTAAAAAAAAAGAAATGCAAGAAAGAAATGGAAAAAAGCAGAAGATAAATGCAAGTTAGACTAAAAAAATGAAATGCAGGCAAGACATGATGGGTGGGGGCTAACAGAAGAGAAATGCAAGGAAGACTGAAAAAATGAAATGCAGGGAATACATTATGGGGGGCTATCAGAAGTGAAATGCAAGTTAGACTAAAAAAATGAAATGCGGGCAAGACATGATGAGAAGCTGTAAGAAGAGAAATGCAAGGAAGACTGAAAAAATGAAATGCAGGCAAGACATGATGGGTGGCTAACAGAAGATAAATGCAAGTTGGACTGAAAAAAAATGAAATGCAGGCAAGACATGATTAACAGAAGAGGCAAGAAAGACTAAAAAAAATGAAATGCAGGGAAGACATTATGGGAGGATAAAAAAAGAAATGCAAAGAAAAATGGAAAAAGCAGAAGATAAATGCAAGTTAGACTAAAAAAAATGAAATGCAGGCAAGACATGATGGGGTGGCTAACAGAAGAGAAAAATGCAAGAAAGACTGAAAAAATGAAATGCAGGGAAGACATTATGGGAGGCTAAAAAAAAAAATGCAAGAAAGAAATGGAAAAAAAAGTTAGACTAAAAAATGAAATGCAGGCAAGAATGATAAAAGAAGAAAAATGCAAGAAAGACTGAAAAAAAAAAATGCAGGGAAGACATTATGGGAGGCTAAAAAAGAAATGCAAGAAAGAAATGGAAAAAAGCAGAAGATAAATACAACTAGACTAAAAAAATGAAATGCAGGCAAGACATGATGAGGGTGGCTAACAGAAGAGAAAAAAGAAAACTGAAAAAATGAAATGCAGGGAAGACATTATGGGAGGCTAAAAAAAAGAAATGCAAGAAAGAAATGGAAAAAAGCAGAAGATAAATGCAAGTTAGACTAAAAAAATGAAATGCAGGCAAGACATGATGGGGGTGGCTAACAGAAGAGAAATGCAAGAAAGACTGAAAAAATGAAATGCAGGGAAGACATTATGGGAGGCTAAAAAAAAGAAATGCAAGAAACAAATGGAAAAAAACAGAAGAGAAATGAAAGTTAGACTGAAAAAATGAAATGCGGGCAAGACATGATGGGTGGCTAACAGAAGAGAAATGCAAGAAAGACTGAAAAAATGAAATGCAGGGAAGACATTATGGGAGGCTAAAAAAGAAATGCAAAGAAACAAACAAAAAAAATGAAAAAAAATGAAATGCGGGCAAGACATGATGAGAAGCTGTAAGAAGAGAAATGCAAGTTAGACAGAAAAAATGAAATGCCGGCAAGACATGATGGGGGTGGCTAACAGAAGATAAATGCAAGTTGGACTAAAAAATGAAATGCAGGCAAGACATGATGGGGGTGGCTAACAGAAGAGAAATGCAAGAAAGACTGAAAAAATGAAATGCAGGGAAGACATTATGGGAGGCTAAAAAAAAAGAAAAAGAAAAAGAAATGGAAAAAAGCAGAAGATAAATGCAAGTTAGACTAAAAAAATGAAATGCAAGGCAAGACATGATGGGGTGGCTAACAGAAGAGAAATGCAAGAAAGACTGAAAAAATGAAATGCAGGGAAGACATTATGGGAGGCTAAAAAAAAGAAATGCAAGAAAGAAATGGAAAAAAGCAGAAGATAAATGCAAGTTAGACTAAAAAAATGAAATGCAGGCAAGACATGATGGGTGGGTGCTAACAGAAGAGAAATGCAAGAAAGACTGAAAAAATGAAATGCAGGGAAGACATTATGGGAGGCTAAAAAAAAAGAAATGCAAGAAAGAAATGGAAAAAAGCAGAAGATAAATGCAAGTTAGACTAAAAAAATGAAATGCAGGCAAGACATGATGGGGGTGGCTAACAGAAGAGAAATGCAAGAAAGACTGAAAAAATGAAATGCAGGGAAGACATTATGGGAGGCTAAAAAATGAAAGAAATGAAAGAAAGAAGAGAAAAGAAGACAAAAAATAAATGCAAGTTAGACTAAAAAAAAAAAATGAAATGCAGGCAAGACATGATGGGGGTGGCTAACAGAAGAGAAATGCAAGAAAGACTGAAAAATGAAATGCAGGGAAGACATTATGGGAGGCTAAAAAAAAAAAATGCAAGAAAGAAATGGAAAAAGCAGAAGATAAATGCAAGTTAGACTAAAAAAAAAATGAAATGCATGCAAGGCATGATGGGAGGCTAACAGAAGAGAAATGCAAGGAAGACTAAAAAAATGAAATGCAAGGAAGACATTATGGGAGGCTAAAAAAAAGAAATGCAAGAAAGAAATGGAAAAAAGCAGAAGATAAATGCAAGTTAGACTAAAAAAATGAAATGCAGGCAAGACATGATGGGGGTGGCTAACAGAAGAGAAATGCAAGAAAGACTGAAAAAATGAAATGCAGGGAAGACATTATGGGAGGCTAAAAAAAAAGAAATGCAAAAAAGAAATGGAAAAAGCAGAAGATAAATGCAAGTTAGACTAAAAAAAATGAAATGACATGAGGCAAGAAACATGATGCAGGGACATTATGGGAGGGGAGGCTAACAAGAAAGAATGGAAAAAAAAAGATAAAGAAAGACAAAAAAATGAAATGCAGGCAAGACATGATGGGGGGGGGCTAACAGAAGAGAAATGCAAGAAAGACTGAAAAAAAAAAAAGATGGGAGGGGGAAGAAATGCAAGGAAGACTAAAAATGAAATGCAGGGAAAGACATGGGGCAGAAGATAAATGCAATGACTAAAAAAAAATGAAATGCGGGCAAGACATGATGAGAAGCTGTAAGAAGAGATATGCAAGGAAGACTGAAAAAATGAAATGCAGGCAAGACATGATGGAGGCTAAAAAAAAAATGAAAAAAAGAAAAAAAAAAACAGAAGATAAATGCAAGAGACTGAAAAAATGAAATGCAGGCAAAGACATGGGGAGGCTAAAAAGAGAAATGCAAGAAGACTAAAAATGAAATGCATTATGGGAGGCTAAAAAAAATGAAATGCAAGAAAGGCTAGAAAAAAAGAGAAATGCATGAAAAAGACTAAAAAAATGAAATGCAGGCAGGAAGACATTAACAGAAGAGAAATGCTAAAAAAAAATGAAATGCAAGACAAGCTAAAAAAAAAAATGCAAGAAAGGAAAAAGCAGAAGATAAATGCAAGTTAGACAAAAAAAAAATGAAATGCAGGCAAGGCATGATGGGGTTGGCTAACAGAAGAGAAATGCAAGAAAGACTGAAAAAATGAAATGCAGGGAAGACATTATGGGAGGCTAAAAAAAGAAATGCAAGAAAGAAATGGAAAAAAGCAGAAGATAAATGCAAGTTAGACTAAAAAAATGAAATGCAGGCAAGACATGATGGGGGTGGCTAACAGAAGAGAAATGCAAGAAAGACTGAAAAAATGAAATGCAGGGAAGACATTATGGGAGGCTAAAAAAAGAAATGCAAGAAACAAATGGAAAAAAACTGAAAAATGAAATGCAGGCAAGACATGATGAAATAAGAAGAGAAATGCAAGTTAGACAAAAAAATGAAATGCAGGCAAGACATGATGGGGTGGCTAACAGAAGAGAAAAAGAAAGACTGAAAAAAATGAAATGCAGGCAAGACATTATGGGAGGCTAACAGAAAAAAAAAACTGAAAAAGAAAGCAAGGAAGAAATGGCCAAAAAAAAAAAAAAGCAGAAGATAAGACAAGTTAGACTAAAAAAATGAAATGCAGGCAAAGACATGATGGGGGTGGCTAACAGAAGAGAAATGCAAGAAAGACTGAAAAATGAAATGCAAGGGAAGACATTATGGGAGGCTAAAAAAAAAGAAATACAAGCAAGACTAAAAAAAAATGGCAAAAAAACAGAAGATAAATGCAAGAAGACTGAAAAAAAAAATGAAATACAGGCAAGAAACACTAAAAAATGAAATGGGGCAAACATGATGAGAAAAAGAGAAAAAAGAAGACTGAAAAAAAAAATGAAATGCAGGCAAGACATGATGGGAGGCTAACAGAAGAAAAATGGAAGAAAAAACTGAAATGAAGGCAAGACATGATGGGGCAAAAAAAAACAGAAGAGAAATGCAAGTTAGACTAAAAAAAATGAAATGCATGCAAGGCATGATGGGAGGCTAACAGAAGAGAAATGGAAGACTAAAAAATGAAATGCAGGGAAGACATTATGGGAGGCTAAAAAAAGAAATGCAAGAAAGAAAAAAAAGCAGAAGATAAATGCAAGTTAGACTAAAAAAATGAAATGCAGGCAAGACATGATGGGGTGGCTAACAGAAGAAAAATGCAAGAAAGACTAAAAAAATGAAATGCAGGGAAGACATTATGGGAGGCTAAAAAAAAGAAATGCAAGAAAGAAATGGAAAAAAGCAGAAGATAAATGCAAGTTAGACTAAAAAAATGAAATGCCGGCAAGATATGATGGGGTGGAGAAGATAACAGAAGAGAAATGCAAGAAAGACTGAAAAAATGAAATGCAGGGGAAGACATTATGGGGAGGCTAAAAAAGAAATGCAAGAAAGAAATGGAAAAAAAGCAGAAGATAAATGCAAGTTAGACTAAAAAAAATGAAATGCAGGCAAGACATGAAAAGAAAACAAGAAAACTTGAAAAAAATGAAATGCAGGGAAGACATTATGGGAGGCTAAAAAAAAAAAAATGCAAGAAAAGAAAGAAATGGAAAAAAGCAGAAGATAAATGCAAGTTAGACTAAAAAAAAAAATGCAGGCAAGACATGATGGGGGTGGCTAACAGAAGAGAAATGCAAGAAAGACTGAAAAAATGAAATGCAGGGAAGACATTATGGGAGGCTAAAAAAAAAAAAGAAATGCAAGAAAGAAATGGAAAAAAAAAGCAGAAGATAAATGCAAGTTAGACTAAAAAATGAAATGCAGGCAAGACATGATGGGGGTGGCTAACAGAAAGAGAAATGCAAGAAAAGACTGAAAAAATGAAATGCAGGGAAGACATTATGGGAGGCTAAAAAAAAGAAAAAAAAGAAATGCAAAAAAAAATGGACTAAAAAAAAAAAGGAAGACATGATGGAGTGGCTAACAGAAGATAAATGCAAGTTAGACTAAAAAATGAAATGCAGGCAAGACATGATGGAATTGGCTAAAAGAAAAGAGAAATGGAAAAAAGGGAAGAAAAGACTGAAAAAATGAAATGCAGGGAAGACATTATGGGTTGGCTAAAAAAAAAAAATGCAAGAAAAAAAAATGAAAAAAAATGCAGAAAATAAATGGAAAAAAGTTAGACAAAAAATGAAATGCAGGCAAGACATGATGGGGCTAACAGAAGAGAAATACAAGAAAGACTGAAAAAAATGAAATGCAGGGAAGACATTATGGGGGAGGACTAAAAAAAAAAAAAATGAAAAAAAAGAAAGACATGGAAAAGAATAAAGAAACTGAAAAAATGAAATGCAGGCAAGACATGATGGAAAAAAATGAAATGAAGGCAAGACATGGCTAACAGAAGAGAAAATGCAACTAAGAAAAAGGCAAGACATGATGGAGGCTAAAAAATGAAATGCAGGGAAGACATTATGGGAGGCTAAAAAAAGAAATGCAAGAAAGAAATGGAAAAATGAAATAAAGACTTAACTAAAAAATGAAATGCAGAAGATAAAGAAGGGGTGCTAAAAGATGAAATGCAAGGACTGAAAAAATGAAATGCAGGGAAGAATTATGGGAGGCTAAAAAAAGAAATGCAAGAAAGAAAGGAAATGCAAGAAAAAATGAAAAAAAATGAAATGCAGGCAAGACATGATGGGAAATTTGGCTAACAGAAGAGAAATGCAAGAAAAGACTGAAAAAAAATGCAGGGAAGACATTATGGGAGGCTAAAAAAAAATGCAAGAAAGAAATGGAAAAAGCACAAACTAAAAAAAGACATGATGGGGTGGCTAACAGAAAAAAAAAAATGAAATGCAGGGAAGACAATGGAGGCTAAAAAAAAAAATGCAAGAATGAAACCCAAAAAAGCAGAAGATAAATGCAAGTTAGATAAAAAAATGAATGCAGGCAAGACATGATGGGGGTGGCTAACAGAAAGAAATGAAAAGAAAGAAAAAAAAATGAAATGCAGGGAAGACATTATGGGAGGCTAAAAAAAAAAGAAATGAAAGAAAGAAATGGAAAAAAGCAGAAGATAAATGCAAGTTAGACTAAAAAAAATGAAATGCAGGCAAGACATGATGGGGTGGCTAACAGAAGAGAAATGCAAGAAAGACTGAAAAAATGAAATGCAGGAAGACAAGCTAAAAAAGAAAATGCAATAAAGAAATGGAAAAGTTAGACTAAAAAAAATGAAAATGCAGGCAAAATGGAAAAAGAAATGCAAGAAAGAAGAAAAATGAAAAGGTTAGAAAAAAAAAATGCAAGAAAGAAATGGAAAAAAGAAGATAAATACAAGTTAGATAAAAAAGAAATGCAGCAAGAAATGGCTAACAGAAGAGCAAGAAAGACTGAAAAAAGACATGGGAAAAAAAATGAAATGCAAGAAAGGAAGAAAATTAAGTTAGACTAAAAAAATGAAATGCAGAGGCTAAAAAAAAAAAAATGCAAGAAAGAAATGGAGGCTAAAAAAAAAGCAGAAAGATAAAAGCAAGTTAGACTAAAAAAAATGAAATGCAGGCAAGACATGATGGGAGTGAAGCTAACAGAAAGAGAATGCAAGAAAGACTGAAAAAATGAAAAAAGGAAGACTGAAAAAATGAAATGGCAAAAAAATGGTGGCTAACAGAAGATAAATGGAAGTTAGACTAAAAAAATGGGAGGCTAAAAAGAAATGCAAGATGAAGCTAATGAAATGAAGACTAAAAAAATGAAATGCAAGGAAAAAAGCTAAAAAAAAATGCAAGAAAGAAATGGAAAAAAGCAGAAGATAAATGCAAGTTAGACTAAAAAAAATGAAATGCAGGCAAGACATGATGGGGCTAACAGAAGAGAAATGCAAGAAAGACTGAAAATGAAAGACTGAAAAAATGAAATGCAAGAAAGAAAGCAGAAGATAAATGCAAGTTAGACTAAAAAAAAAATGAAATGCAGGCAAGGAAAAAAAAAAAAAGAAATGCAAGAAAGAAAAAAATGAAAAAAAGCAGAAGATAAAAAAAAAGAAATGCAAGAAAGAACTAAAAAAAAAGATAAATGCAGACAAGACATGATGGGAGTGGCTAACAGAAGAGAAATGCAAGAAAGACTGAAAAAATGAAATGCAGGGAAGACATTATGGGAGGCTAAAAAAAAGAAATGCAAGAAAGAAATGGAAAAAAGCAGAAGATAAAATGCAAGTTAGACTAAAAAAATTCGAAAATGCAGGCAAAATGGCAGGCACTGAAAAAATGAAACAAGACATGAGGCAAAAAAAAGCTGTAAGAAAGAAATGCAGAAGAGGAAGACTAAAAAAAAATGAAATGCAGGCAAGACATGATGGGAGGCTAACAGAAGAGAAATGGAAGAAAGACTGAAAAAAATGAAAAAGATGATGGAAAGATGAGAAATGGAAGAAAGACTGAAAAAATGAAATGAAGGCAAGACATGATGGGGGTGGCTAACAGAAGAGAAATGCAAGTTAGACTAAAAAAATGAAATGCATGCAAGGCATGATGGGAGGCTGACAGAAGAGAAATGCAAGGAAGACTAAAAAAATGAAATGCAAGGAAGACTGAAAAAATGAAATGCAAGGAAGACATAACAGGAGGCTAGAAGGAGGAAAATGCAAGGAAATACAAAAGGACAGATAGGGAAGGGTAAAAAAGAAACAGACAGGAAGACTAAAAGAGGTGGAATGCATGAAGACTAAAAAATATAGGAATAGCAGGGAAGACAAGAAGAAAAGACAGGCAGAGAGAATAGAAGGAGTGAAAAGCAGAAAGACTAAAAGAAAGGATCGTCAGAAAAATTAAAAGTAAAGAAATGCAGTGGACATTAAAAGAACGGATAGGCAGAGGGACTCACAGGAATGAAATGCATGTATCCTAAAATACAAAACAGACCTTGGAGATATAAACAGAGTAGGCAGTCAAGAAAAGATAGGCAGATAGACTAAATGTAATCAAAAACAGAAAGAATAAAAAAGCAGAATGAGAATGGTATCAAGGAACTGAAAAACAGAGACACCAAAAAGACAAGAAAACTTAATAAAAAGAAAGGCAAGAACACGGAAAGAAAAAATACATTAACGCAAAGGCAAGAATACAAAAGAATCACTTGGCTTCTTTTGTCTTTGATGGCAAAACTGTTTATGTTAAAGAAATGATTTGATTAGGTTTATAATACCCAGAAATTCATACAAAAGGGCACATGGCGCAGTGGATAAAGGCATTGGTTAAATCCAGTGACAGAACCCAAAGAGTGTGAGTTCAATACCCAGGTAAGGCAGTGGAGAACTTTCAGAAGGAAATTAGCAGGAGATAACTGATAACTGACATCCATCAAAAGCATGGCACGTGGAACTAGAACAGTCTACCCCAGTGAGCATAATAACGGGTTCAGTTCGAAATTCCAACAACCTGAAGAATGCCGGAGCGTACAACAGCCGAAACGTTGTGATAGATATGAGGACAATAAATGATTTGATGCCGTTATGATTATAGTGCCACAATTAATATTCATAATTAAGTTGTTAATTATTTTAATAGTGATGAGACTAACAAAACCTTACCATATTTTCCAGCTTACATGGCATACTTTTTTTCCTAAAAAATACCCTGAAAAATATGTGTGCTTCTTCAAAGACAAATGTAAGGCAATGCCCAGGCTTAAGTTATCTTGGATGGTCATCTAATTGGCTTGACTGATAGGGAGGTGGATTTGTATGTTGAGCCATTACACTATAATTTTAGCTATATATATAATTCAGCCTTTTATATGATGTAACTTAGCTATTACAAGTAATTCCAAGACTATAAACCTTCCTGGAGCTGAGCCACAAGCTTAAACATGCTCCGTTTACTAGCAGCAACGGGAGCCTTTCTGCTCTTGACTAGTAGGTCATTGCCATACAAAATTGAACAATTAATTAATGTAAAAAATACATGGTGCCAGTATGTGAGGGATGCTTGTGGAATGCGTTGTTGTATAAGAATGACTTTTTTTCTTAGAAATTTCTTTCCACTATTAGGGTGTGTCTTCTAAGCTCCAGCATCTTGTAAGCTGGAAAATATGATATTTATTAATAAATATAGTAGCAGTAATAATAACAGTAACAATAAAGATTGTAATAAATTTAAAATAGCTATTATAAACGGTAATTGGTAATATTAGCTGTTTACTTTTAAAGAAACATTTGACATTCATTGACCAAACCACTAAAATGGCTTTCAGTTGAAATTTTTAAAAGTTTCCTCTTAAAACAATTTTTCAGGAAAATAGTTTTTTTTTAATTCCAGTAACTATGATCACTCTTTCTAATGGTGATGGTGGGAGAGGGATAATTCCTAACCTTTTATTTGAAGTAGTGCGGAATATCAGTGTCTTATGTTATAATATTCTTTTCGAGTTGGATGTGCTATCTATTTTAGTTGTTGTTGCTGTTAGCAGTTCACAACTGATGTGGTTTCTGTTATTTGGTACAGTTCCTTGTTTGCGATTCTGTAGCGACAGTTCACAATGTTCAAAGCGGGATGATCTTTACCACGATCCTCAGGCTTCACTCACTCAAAGCCATTTTTTACCATTCACCTCTCACCTATTAATAGGAATAGGTAGATTCATCTATCATCTGGTTCAAACATCTTGCTGGTCATTTGAACAGGAGTAGAGTTTTATCCCTTGGTTTCTGTTAAGGATTTGCTTTCTGGTTCCTTTTAGTCTACTTCAACTCAATACTTCTATCATCCTCCCACTAATCTCTAAAATTGTATTTACTATTTCTTTTTCGTTTTAGTTTTCTTTTTTTTTAAATAGGATTAAATATGTTTACCTATTGTCTGGTTCACACTCCTCACAAAAATATTTTTTTTTTTGCTTTTTACAATACAACAGAAATAATCGCATTAGCTGACTGAAAAGCTGACTATGCCTAGAGAGTCATGTATTTACATTATTTTATGGATGCATGTAATTTTCCAGTAGTCAACTGTGAACAAACGAGCACTGTTGTTGCATGTTTTATGTGTTGCAATATTTACTTTCAAATGGCAAAGTTTTTTTTGCAAGAAGTTACTCAATAAATATGTGAAATGCCAATTAATTAATTATAGGAAATGCATGAGGAATCAGTTTGCATACCACAACAACCACTGGTCAAAGGTTTACTGAAAAATGGTAAAACAAAACTTGTGAATTTCTGCAACGAATTTGTCCTTAGGTATCCATGTAATTTTTCAGCATTGAGCAAATGAGCATTGCTGTTACTACGAACAATATTCACTTTTTGAAGATTATTGGAAGCAGAAAAGCAAGAAATCAGGAATGAGTTCCACAGGTGAGAAAATAAACTCTTAGAATAGAACATATGGTTGCATCTCTGTAGTTCAACAGTAAAATGTTGCAAATCTAGTAGAACACAAATTTATGCAGTAAAAACACCAAGGAGGAAAACACATCAAAGCAATTGTCATGAAAATATTTACAGAAAAGACAGAGGAAGGTCACATCATGGTTGAAAATGACTGAAGATACCACTGTTAAATAAAAGTTTAGCAAACTATTAATTTTAGAGAGAAGTGTATCACTGCTCCAACTTCCTGAGGTTGATATTTGAGGTCAGTTGGAAGACAAAACAAGGAAGTCAATTTTGTTCATGAGAATGATAGATAGAGAAAGGTTTTTTGGGGGAGTTTTTCTGAACTGCTAAGCAATGTAGACATGTTGACTTTCATAGGTGGGGGAAAAAGAGATGGTTTCATAACTTTCCCAAAGTTACTTGCTCATAAGTGAATGTAATGAACACAACAGGAATTCGAATTTGGCTCTCCAATTTCTCATGTTTCCCTTTTTGGAGACTAAGCACGAGCAAAAGAAATTCAAAGTTTTGGACAAAAAAAAAACCCAGAATGATGTCAAAATTCTCAAATATTTTTCCTCCTTTAATAGTTGGACTCAGTTTAATTTGTAATGTATATAAATGTAGGTAGAAAAAAACAAATGTTGATAAGATAACATGGGTCACAAAACACTGTTTGGGACCCTAAGAAATGCTTGGGCCCCTACCTCTCTGTCAGGGAGTTTGAAGGTAGTACGCTCCACCTCTGGGTTCTGTCATAGATCATAACAGCAGTAATTGTATATTCTTACTCCTGCCTTTTCAGCTAAAGTATTCACGAGAGAGTGGTTTTCTCAAGCATTCACTCTTTTCTCTACCTACTGTCATAATAAATTGTTTTGGTCATAATATCTGGCAGTTAGACTGAAGTGCTGGGAGAATTTGAGTTATGCCTTTCTGAACACCACTAGCACTAAGTGAATAAACTTTGAAAGACTTTAAATAAGAAAAGAAAATCAAAAAATGATATGAAAAACGAAACGTGATTCATGTAAAATTCAGTAGCTCACCTTGGAGGCAAGATGAGACTTTCTGCTGCAAAAAATGCTTGCTCACATTAAATGTGTGCTGGCCATACATTAGAAGTAAATTAATATTGCATGTCATTAAATGCAAGAAAATCTAATGGACAGATCTAACTGTCAATCTAGATAGCTAGCTAGCTATCTTACGCTGTTCAGTATCTATCTATCTATCTATCTATCTATCTATCTATCTATCAGTTTCTTCATTATCTATCTATCTATCTATCTGTCTTACACTGTTCAGTATCTGTCTGTCTGTCTTACGCTGTTCATTATCTATCTATGTATCATATGCTGTTCAGTATCTATCTATCTATCAGTCTGTTCATTATCTATCTATCTATCTATCTATCTCAGTCCATTCACATCTGTCTGTCAATCTCATTCTATCTCATCTATCTGCTTATATGTCCCAATTACATTTCTTTCTATGATAAAATAAAGAGTAAATAGGAAGAGTATACATTAGAAATTAGCAAATAGGAAGCCATATATTAGAAGTAAATTAATATTGCATGTCATTAAACGCAAGAAAAACTAATGGACAGATCTATCTGTCAATCTAGCTAGCAAGATATCTTACACAATTCAGTATCTATCTATCTATCTATTTATCTATCTATCTATCTATCTATCTATCTATCTATTTTATGCTGTTCATTATCTATCTATCTCTCTTACACTGTTCAGTATTTATCTATCTGTCTGTCTTCTGCTGTTCAGTATCTATCTATCTATCTATATATATATATATATATATATATATATATCTCAGTCCATTCACATCTGTCTGTCAATCTCAGTCTATCTCATCTATCTGCTTCTATATCCCAATTACATTTCTTTCTATGATAAAATAAAGAGCAAATAGGAAGCGTATATCAAACTAACATGTTTCACTTTTATTAAAGCTTCATCAGAGAATGAGAGAAAAAAGGGAAAAAGACAGAAACGCACGTCTTTTTGTCGATTTTCTTTTAATCTCTGATGAAGCTTTAATGAAAGTGAAACATGTTAGATTGATATATGCTTCCGATTTCTTCTTTTATTTTATCATCCTGACGGATTCCGTTCCATATTTGATCTGCATTTGATCTTTAACTCATTTGGGAAATTGCATGACAGCATGGAAAAAGTTTACTTGTGACATGTTTCATCTTTCAGGACTAAATTTTATGTTGGTTGGTTTAGTCCAATGATATCCTAAAGGATGAAATGCGTCATAAGTAAACTTTTTCCACTTTGTCATATAATTTTGATCTGCATTTGATCTTTAACTCA